GAAGACCCTGCATGATCATCCTTGCTGACCTCTGGTCCACTTTCTCCTCCCTGACCCTACTCTTTCTATTGTGGCAATAAAGATAAAAAAATATGTGGAAAGCAAAATTTTGAAATAGAATTAGGAATAGTAGTAGTGAAATTGCTGTGGAAATTAACCTCAAAGTCACTTTTATGATATAGATATTTTCTCTCAGGCAGTTATATTCTCTTCTCACCTGTGAAGACCCTGCATGATCATCCTTGCTGGCCTCTGGTCCACAGTCTCCTCCCTGACCCTGCTCTTTCTATTGTGGCAATAAAGATTAAAATAATAATGTGCAAAGCAATAGTGAGCACAAGTTCTTATTAAGGAGGAGTGGTTTATTCCTAGCATGTACTAGCTAGCAAGCGATTTAACATGGGTAACAATAATATTAGTATTCTTGTAAACTAGCTTCACTCGATATATTGGCATCTATTAATTAGTCATTTAGCTAACAGTATCTACATGCAACAACATTACTCAACTTACACAGTTTGTTTGGAAGAAACTGTGCAAGTTTTTTTGCTTCTTGCTGGCTGGTTTGCTGAACATAGTTAACACACAGCAGCGCTGCCCAGCAGCACACGTCTCGTCTGTGCGATTGTTTCAGATCACAACAGGACAGCGTAGTCGGCTGACTGTGAGACTAGAGCTGCCCAATCAAAGCGCAAATAAGGATTGCGCTCCAATCAGAGAGTAGTTTTCCGCATAAACATTTGGCTGCATGCCATTTTACTCAACCGGTATGCCGGTCAGGCGGAGTCTGCCCCTCTCTGAAGTCTGGATGCAAACTTCAACTCCGCCCACCCGGTGCGCCGGCTGTTTGAAATTAATTTAAAATACTCAGCTGCCAGCCTTTTTTCCAGCGTTTGTTGCTGGCGTGAGAATTGGTTGGGCAGAGTGAGACCGTGAGATGGAAGGTGAATGCATGTGTCACACGCCAGATGCATGAGAGGTGGCAACCCTGGTTAACATTTTTCCAGCATAGGGCAATAGAATGTCCAAACCATTCCTTTTTCCTTATTTGACAAAGTACAGTTTTCTGGGTATATACTAAGTATACATAACTTAGGACAGAGAGGTATAGGAGATGAGGTAATTTGAGAAATATAATACACCACAGATTTCCAAAAAGCTTGAATTTCTTTACAGTTCTACTGGCAGTGATATAAGGTCCCCTTATGCGTATTGCATTTATAACATAAATCTGGTACATTAGGGTCAAATTTATTTAATTTCTCTGGAGTTATATAGGTTCTCATTATCCAATTGTATTGTATAAATTTTAATCTGGAGTTAATTGTTTGTGTTTGTGCTTTAGAGCATATCGAATCCCACTCCTCCTCTGAGATGTCCTCCTTGATGTCCTGGATCCAAGTCTGTTGTTTACTTTCAGTATTATCTTTGTGATGATCTATCATTATATTTTAAAGTTCTTTGACTAACCCTTTGGCTAAACAATTCTGAATGGAGTACATCTCTGGCGTGGAAAGGGGAGGTTGTTGAGTTATTTAAAGCGACACTTAACTTTCTGAAAATGTTACGTTTTTCTTTTTTTTAGGTTAAAATGCTATTAATAAACTGATGGCACACTAAAATGTAAGTGAATTCGACCAGAGATAAAAACTCATAATTATACCATTCTCATATGGTTCTAAGAAAACTCTGACCAATCATTGCATTTGGACCAAATGCAATGATTGGCCGAGTGTCCTGTCTGTCTTCCACACGTGGCCTCCGACTGACATAACCGCTGCACTTCTCACCCTTAGTTCTTCAAAAGACATCAGATTACCATCAACAAATAGGTCACTTAATTTAGTAATGCCTCTCTCAAATCACTTCTTAAATCCCAAGTCTTTTGTTGCAGGTTTAAAATGTACATTACCCCAAATAGGTGAGAAACAGGACAATGTTGGGGTGTCCCCTAAGTATTTATGTACAGTGTACCATACATTAACAGTGTTTATTACCAAGGGATTGGTTATATGTTTCTTTGATATTTTGATAGAGGCTAAATAGAGAAAGCTATCCAACAATAAATTTCCTGAGGTAAGCAATTCAGTCTGCAGCCAAGCCAGTCTATCTTTATTGGAAAACCGGTACATTGCCGCTCTTAATTGGGCTGCCCAGTAAAACCACTGGAAGTTTGGTAATTGCAATCCACCCCTGTCATATATCAAATATAAAAGGAACAGTCTAAATCTGGGCTTTTTACTGTTCCAAATAAAGTTTGAAAGGAGCTTCTTAATTTGGGAGAAGAATTTGGATGGAGGAGCCAATGGTATTGATTGAAAAATATATAAGAATTTTGGAAGAATGTTCATCTTAATTATATTTATTCTTCCGATTATAGAGAGAGGCAATGATGTCCGTCTTGCAATATCCTCCGACACTTTAGTTAGTATGGGGACATAATTTGCTGAGCTAAGGATTTTCAACAATGGAGTAATTTTGATACCCAAATAAACAAATCCATCAGTGACATTAACAAATGGGTGGGGTATCGTTGGATTTCTTCACTCCTGTTCATTTAGGAACATAATTGACGATTTATCCTTATTCACCTTAAACCCGGAAAAAACACCATACTGACGTATTAATTCCAAGAGGGATGGTGTTGTTTGGCCTGTGATTGTATAGGAATAATAGGCAATCATCTGCAAACATGGCTAAATCCATTTGCGTCATATTAAATAACAATCTTTGTGTAAACTGCGTCATTAAGCAACAATCATGTAGCATTAATCAAAATGAATGCACACATGATGTTCAGTGTGATGAATTACACAAACAAAGAAATGAATGGAATCTTCAGGAGAGTAACAGTAAGTCTAAAGATCATCTGTGACTGCTTCTAAAAACTGAACACAGTGTTATGATCCTTGATCAGTCCCTCTTGGAATTTGTGGGCTTTTGTTGGGGAATTGTTGTGGCCTAAAATGCCCAATTTTATGACAGCTTTTCTGAAAAAAAAAAAATTGCGGAGCATGTTGCAATGTTTACAGGTGTTTTTTGGTAGCTAAATCGGGGGAGCAAGTGAAAACAGCCAAAATAGTTGGGATTTTTTTGTATCATTCAATAAAAATCTGCCTGTTCTCACTCCCAACTCATCAAATACCACCTAACCATTTTGAAAGTGATCTTGGCATAATACACCAACGCACAGAGGCATCCTTTATAACAGGTATGATACACACTGGGGCGGTGGCAGTTTGTAACGCCACTGGCAACTACCTTGGTATAAAGAGCAAGAAAGTCCATGTAGGGGGAGTGGAGGTGCATGGGTCAAATAAACTCTGACTTTCACCCGGGAATCCACTGTTCATTTTTCATGTTAGATCAAAAGTCAGTGGAGCTATTTTAATAACAACGTAGTGCCCTTTATGTGTAGCATGCTCACTAGTGACATATGTCAAATGAAGATGTCATGTGACATTAATTTAGTAACAAACATACTTAATTTCAGGTTAACCACATGCTTTTGTTGGCTAAACTAAAGGAAATAAACCTAAAAACAATTTTTTTTTTACTGACATGTCTGTGGATATTCTCATTTATCCAGGTCAATTCCATTCTGGCAACAATTAAATCGTAGGCAACTGGACTTTGATTTTGTCTAGAAGACGTTTCACCTCTTATCCAAGCGGCTTCATCAGTTCTCAACGCATCAGTCTGACTAGTCCTCACTAGTATGACAAACAGTGGAGTAAGACTCAGATTTTACTGACATACATTTATTTTGAAAAAGACTGTATGCATGTAATGAGCAAAAACTGTACATTTCGTGTGAAAACAAAAACAAGTGTAAGTTGACACACTGTCCCTGAATGTCCAGAACTGATGCAGGTGGGTCATATTTTAAATTGTAGGTCCACTGATAAAGCAGCTGTATTTGAAGAGTTGGAATGACAACATGTTGTACGAATCAAAGGCAGTTTGTTCCAGACTTCCAGTGAGAACAAAACCTCTGAGTTCTGAGTTTATGATTTACACGAATGTCACCACTAACCTGCATACTGAGTCTAACTAACCTTGATTCTTTCAGTACATGCAATAGATCTGCCTCTGTCAGGCTGATATGTCTGTTGTCCATGTTTTGGCCAGTCTCCAGGTTTATTATGTGGTAGAAATGTGTTTCTGTTTCAACTACAATATTACACACAGTGCAAGTGTATTCTAACGTGCAGAACATCAGGGAGTTACTTTGCACAGTCTTAAGCAGTAATTTTCGTCAATAAATGTGAAATGCTCGTGTCGCTCACATCTGCATCTTCACAACTAGAAACAAGGAAGTGAGTTTGTTGACGTTATGCGGGAGACTGCTAAAACTGTTGAAACTCAAGGGAAACAACAATGATTCGTCAAAGTTGCAGTGATTAACAATACTGCAAGGTCACGCAGAATTCACATGAACTGGTTAAGTTTACGTTTTGCTTTAAGTGTTACGATCGAATCATCCTGGAACAACTGATTAAAGCTCAAGAAAAAGATCTGTTTTCAGCAGTTACAAGCCAGAAAAAAAATCTGTGTTTTTCTGATGCCAATTTTCTGTTCTTCTGATGCCATTTGGCTTGTAGCAGAGGGGCTGCTAACTATCGTGGACAACACAAAAACATGAATGGCCCTATCTCGAGCCAGTGTTTGTTTTTTTTCTGTTCTGGGCTACTGTACAAACATGGCAGTGCAACATGACAATCTCCATAGACAAGGCTCCCAACATAGATATAAACCGCTCATTCTAAGATAAAAGATTCTTATTTTCAGGTGACTATACACTTAAGAAAACATACTTAGATTATATTCCATATCTGACAATATATCCACCTAAATCCTACACACTGGACCTTTAAAAAAGCTACCTGTCATTTTGCAGTGCACCACCAACACCAGTGTGCTGTTACTGACATGTTTATAATTCTGTTGTGAAAATAACAAATAACTGCAAGAGGACACAGAGTCAACAAAACAGCTTATGAATTATACCTCTACCTTTAATTACAGAAATGAACAAGAGGACACAGAGTCAGCAAAACAGCTTATGAATTAATTATTTAATTAATTATAGAAATGAACATGTCTACAGGCACAAGCACAGATATGTATATATGTATATATATATATATATATATATACACATATATATATATGTATATTTTAACTTTAAAATTGTTTCCAAATCCTTTTTCTGATCAACAGATGGAGTCCAAGAGCTGCGCTGAGACAGAGACGCTTATGTCCAAAGGTCTAAAACGTCCAGGAGGTTCTTGACACTGGTGTGGCACCAACTGTTTTCTTTAAAGTGGGAGCAAATAATCAGTTCTTTGTTTTTTTATGTCCTTAAGGACAATCCATCGATCCAAGTTCATACACAATCATATCCAGAAATGTCCGCTATGTGGTCCTTCACAATACTGAGTGCTGATGAGGCTGCTTAATTCTTAAAAAAAGAAAAGACATGACAGAATCATTAAGAGGCCAGAATTAAAGAAAACTAAAGTTGATCTGTGTCATTGCTTCTAACTGACAAACTACAAGTCACCTGATCACAGAAAGATTCATCATATGACACAGAACTGCACAGATGGTGTTCCTATTCAGCAGGTGGAAAACAGCAGCAAAGGGTTTCATCTGACGGGTTAGATGGAGAGCTTTTACGCACTGATTATAGGTTTTACGCACAGATTTAAAGGTTTTCCGCGCGACACGCGCACCGGTCAGATGGGGTGGAAAGCTGCGCTGACAAACGGCGCGGTGCTAGGCATACAGTGGTACTGGAGAGTGTAGTTCTTTCCCTCGTTGTTGTCCCAGAACTCCCCCTCCTCGCTCCTCAGGTACACGGCGAAGTGCACGGCCGAACTGGGGTCCATAAAGGGCGGCGTGTACACGGTGAAGCTGAAGCGCTCTCCTACAAAGTCCGGCTGATCCGCGGCCGCGGGCAGAGCCTGTGCGTCCACGTAGGAGAGCCAGTCGTTGAAAGTGTACCTCACTCCGACGTCTTTGTCGGCGCAGCCGGTAAAGACCCGGATCTGGCCCCGCACGTCGAACTGTGTGATGGTGATCTTCTCCAGGCAGACGCGGAGCCGCTGGACTCTCCGCTCCGCCTTCTGGGGCTCCGGAAAGCAGGCGACCAGGCGGTCCGTGTTCAGGCTGGACTTGAAGCTCTGGCACAGGTCGTTCAGTACATCCTGCTGCTGCGGCGGGAAGCTCTTGTGTCGGGACAGAACTTTACTCGGAATCTGTGGCTCCTCCAGCGAGCTGAAGTGCTTGACGCTGGCCAAGTTCAGGCCCATGGAGTCGGCAAACTTCACCCGCTTCCTCCCATCACTTCCGCCGACGCCGACCAGGAGCGCCGCCGGGTAGGCGGGCAGGGACTTGGCTCTCCTTCTGTCTTTCATAAACCTCTCCAGCTGAGAAGCGTCCACCTCATCGTCCAGATCATCCTCCTCCTCTTCCCCCTCCTCCTCATTCTCCATGCCGTTCTCTAAACTCAGCCACGGGGAGGGAGACTCTCCCTCGGTGTGGAACTGGATAGGTAAGCGGGACATGTGTGCCGGGCAGCCCGGCGGTTGCGGGAGTCCCGCTGCTGGCGGCTTGTATAGGGAAGAGACTCCCGCCCCCTCCAGCGGACAACGTGGTAACAACAGAGCGCGTGCAGTTTCCCCCGTCCGCTGCTGGCACGGGGACACGCGTACCGTCACCTCAACTTTGACCTGTTTGCATGCAGTGACGCAGATTCACGTAAACGACAACAACAACAACAACAACAACAGAATACACATTAAATAGTGTAAACAATAACAATAGAATACCCTAAATACTGTAAACAACAACAACAACAGAATATACATTAAATATTGTAAACATCAACAGCAATAGTAACAGAAAACCTTAGATACTGTAAACAACAACAGAATACACATTAAGGGACCTCTGTATACAACAACAACAACAATGGGATACACGTAAACCCTGTAAACAATGTAAACGAACAGAATACTTTGAATACTGTAAACAACATCAGCAACAGGATTCACATTAAGCACTGTAAACAACAACAGAATTAAAAACTGTAAACAACAACAGAATAGGCTACACATTAAATACTGTAAACAACACCAACAGAATGCCTTAAATACTGTGAACAACCACAACATGATACACATACCATAAACAACAACAACAGAATACATATTAAACACTGTAAACAACAACAAATATCTGAAATACTGTAGGCTAAATAACAACAACACCAACAGAACACATGTAAATGTGTTTTTAATGGAACATCTTCGCCTGGAAAGTAACTAAAGCTTTAAGATAAATGCAGTAAAAGTAGTTTTTCCCCTCTGTAGGTGTAGAGGAGTGGGAGGTATAAGGTAGCATAAAATAAAAAATACTCCAGTAAAGTACAGTTACCTCAAAACTGATCTGGTCTATAACTGGTCTATAAACATATCTGTAACTTACCTACAGGACTAATGTGAGGATGAAACTGTTTTCTGAAGAGCCAAAACCCTATGGACTGAACTACTACTGCCCCTTTATATGTATATCTATAGATTACACATGATAAAGAATATGCAAGAGTGTAAAGATGTGCAAAGTCACTGAAGATGACAAAAAAACTACAAATGTGTTTTAGTCACAAAACAAATGATTTGTTTTTATATTGTGTAACATTTCTAACTGTTTACACATCAACAATAATTCATATAAACCCTCCATATGAGCAGTTACAAACACATCTAACTTGTATAATAATAAGATAAATAATGAAATAAAATTTCAGGTTTGTCTTTACTTAGCAGCTTTTAAATTTCCCTCACTTCACATGCATGGTTTATTTTTTAGCAAAAATTCTTATTTTGTTAATTTAATAATAATAATAATGATAATAATAATAATACTACATTTTATTTATAGACCGCTTATCAAGGTACCTAAAGACACTTTACATAAGTTAAAGCAATAACGAAAAGAGAATACACTTAAAATATATAACACACAACATTAGTCACAAATGAAATTAGTTGCCAGCAGCCCAAAATGCATGGAAGATAATTCAGGCACCTGTAAAAATGTACACATCGTCAGTCACAATCACTACAAATATAATTATAGAACATTTCAAGCTTGTAACAGTATATAGTTACTCTATTTACACATAAGAACAACAAAATGTAAAAAAACAAAAAAACAAAAACAACAACAGTCTGTTTACACATAGTCATCTTATCTGTTATTATCACTGCAAATATTAATATTTTACAGTTTTAAACATTTGAACTTACTGTCTGTTCTTTGTCTCTGCATGATTTATAAATAAAGTCATGTTACTTTGAATAAATCTTCTTATGTTTATGATTATTGTGAGTTTGAAGCTAAAGGACTCACAATCAGATGTTGTTATATAACCAGCTGTCCATGTAGCTCTGTGACATGCGTCACTCCAAAGCTGGTAAACAAACGCATGCTGTCATCACCACCATCATGCTGACATCACTCAGCAAGCATTTCCTTATATGGAGATAAAACATAGAGGAGTTTAACCATTTCATCACTGCAGCTGCTCTGTAAATAACTTCCATAAATACAGAAATATTTTAACTGCTTTAGTTAATAAATACTTGAAAACAAAACATCAGGACTTAAAATTTACCTGCCTCTTCAAATTGCTACCTCAAAACTACCTTTGTGTCCAAAGAACTTACATTATATTAAAAATGGTGAAATTTGCTATAGGCTATATGCCCTCAAAAATGTAAACCCATCTCTGTCATGACTTTCTTTTCTTTTCTTTTCTTTTCTTTGCTTTGCTTTGCTTTTGTTAAATAGTTTCTTAAGTTACATCATTCCATTTCATTTACTGTTTCTTCATAGAGTTAATAAGTACTGTTTATATTTTTTCTTGAAAGCTGCTCAGGTGTTTATTTTTTAAATATTATTTTTAGTAATCCAGCTCTGTAAATGACAGAAGATTTAAGGAGATTTATCCTTGGTCTAGGTGGCAATAGATATCTTAAACTGGCCTGTCTTAGCTGATATTTATGTTCACCACTGATGTACACTTGGTCAGTCAAATATTGTAATTTCTTATTATTTATGACATTCCTTAAAAAGTTTAAAAGACTGCATTGTAATCTTTCCTCTACAGAAAGCCATGTGATCTCACATGGCTTTCCTCTACAGAAAGCCATGTGACATCATAGTACATCTAAAAACATTTGTGTGTACTGAACAATAAAGAGCTAATCTGGCAGCTCAGTTTTGTGCAGCTGTAAACACAGACTACACAAACGCAATGGGGAAACAAACACATTTGTTTATTCTCAGTACACATACACTCATAACTGTATCAGACACAATTTTTGTGCACATCAGCAAACCTGAATCCTATTTATAATGTTCAACATCTGATTTTTGAGGGGTTTTTTTGTTGTTTTTTTTTTGTTTTTTTTTTTTACAGTTGGTTAAGGATGTTTTCCCAGGTACATTCTGGGTTGGTTGGTATTTCAGTGGCATTGTTTAGTAAACACATGGGCTTTTAGTCTTGGGTGATGTGTCTAATGTAGACAACCATGTGGACAACATGTGGAAATTCAATTTTTTCACTCTGTTGTCAATTACACACAGGTCCAAAATACACACATGCACAAACAGGACCTATACATGCACTAAGTGGAGAGATGTCAGAGTGAGGGGGCTGCCCATGGACAGGTGCCCTGAGCAGTTGGGGAGGTTCCGTGCCTTGCTCAAGGGTACCTCAGCAGTGCCCAGGAGGTGAACCTGCGCTTCTCCAGCTACCAGTCCACGCTCCATATTTTGTCCGAACAGGGATCCAAGTCCCAAGTCCCTATGGACTGAGATACTGCTCCCCTCCAAAACTGGTGAAATGGTTGCACCCAGTATTAAATGTCCTAAGACCTTAGAAATGTACTTGCAAATTTGACGTAGTAATACAAACGTCAAAATAGACTTATAGAGCCATGTGGCTTTCGATAGTAACACAATAGCGTTGGCCTCTAGTGTGACATATGACATAGATGTTAGCAGCTCTTTTTAAACAATAATGACATAGCATGTCAATAACAATCATTTACAGTCCCTGTTTTATGGCGGCTGATCTCGTCCTCTGCTCGGAGGGTCAGGAGCTTCCAGAACTCATTGTTGTCCTAATTGGCCTCTGTGCTGTTCTGCTTCTTTGAGTTAGCTGCTAACTGCTATCAGCTGGTTTTAAATCTCCTGTGGTGGGTCACACACATTATGGGCTCTAGTTTCGCAGACCGGGCGAGGCAGTGGTGCAGCGCACCTGCGCTTCGCCAACTGGGTGTGGCCAGGCAGATTTTGCAAGTTTGGCACACCGTGCGCCTGGCACAGCTACTCGTCTTTCCCACCTCCGTTCCTCCTACCTGCGCAAGTTGGAAAGAGTGAGGAGAGAAGGCGTGGAGTGGGTTTTACACAGCCCATTCACATCACACCAATCAAATGAGCCCCTCTCCTCGCCCTTAAATGCGCCGCGCGAATGCGTAATGAGAGTTTACTCAATTCGCCATGGCAGAAGTGAGCAGCAGCGTCAGACGGCCAAACTTCTCCCAGGAGGAAACTGATGTTTTGGTCTGGGAGGTCCAAGCTCGCAGTGTCCGAATATACGGAACTGCTAGCAGACCTCCACAGGCTGATGATGCAAAGGTAGCCTGGGAGGAGGTCACCATAACTGTAAATCAATGTTGCGTTTCTCTCATGCACACACTCTCTCTTTCTCTCTCGCAGTCTCACTCTGTTTCTTTTCTTTTGACTTTTCTAAGATGACAGATGTTGAATATATACTCCCTATCTGATGCTGTGGCTGTTTGTGGTTGGCTGAGAGGGATGTGAACTCATTAGTTTGCAGCTGTGTTAATCAAGTTGGGTTTCCATTACGCGTGCCAAACGGTGCCAATCCCCTTTGATCTGACATCAGATGTGACGGGACAGTCAATATAGAGATACGGGTTAACAACGACTGCCACCGGTGCTGTTGACCTACAGGGTGAAGGTGGAAATTGGACGACTGTTAGTCGAAAAAGGAGAGGAGGAAGGCCTGTCCACAGGCAGAGGGAGAAGAGGAAAGGCAAGAGTCTAGAACTAAGAGTAGGGACTTTGAATGTTGGGACTATAACAGGTAGAGCTGGAGAGTTGCCTATACGATGCAGAGGAGGAAGGTGGATATACTGTGTGTTCAGGAGACCAGGTTGAAAGGTAGCAAGGCTAGAAGCTTAGAAGCAGGGTTCAGGCTGTTTTATCATGGTGTAGATGGGAAAAGAAATGGAGTAGGAGTTATCCTGAAGGAGGGGTTTGTTAGGAATGTTCTGGAGGTGAAAAGAGTGTCAGATAGGGTGATGAGTATGAATCTAGAAATTGAAGGTGTGACGTTCAATGTTATTAGTGGTTATGCCCCACAGGTTGGATGTGAGTTAGAAGACAAGGAGAAATTCTGGAGTGAGTTTGATGAAGTGATGCAGAATATCAGGTGAGAGAGTGGTGATTGGTGCAGACTTCAATGGACATGTTGGGGCAGGGAACAGAGGTGATGAGGAAGTGATAGGCAGGTTTGGAACACAGAAGGACAGATGGTGGTAGACTTTTGCAAAAAGGATGGAAATGGC